GACAAGAAAGAAGATGGCAAGCAGGTCTGAGTGGTGGGGCCTCTGAGTGCTGCCTCTGGGGGGCCTGGGGAAAGGAGAGTGCAACATCTTTTGTGTCGTGTGGTGTCCAGAGGAGCTGGGACGGGCGTTGTGTATTGGTTGGGGAAAAGGTGAACTGGGCTCAGCTGTGGAGGCGGGAGGGGGCATTCCAGTGATCATCTCTACCTGTAGCCCGAAAATGACAGTTCTAATGATGACAAAACTAAGAAATCCGAGGGTGATGGGGACAAGGAAGAGAAGAAAGAAGACTCTGAGAAGGAAGCCAAAAAGGTAAGTTATCTCTTGCGTGGGGTCAGAACGTCAGGGCTGGGGTCCTGCTTCCCTGACTCAACCCTGTGCTGTGGCTCTCACAGAGCAGCAAGAAGCGGACTAGGAAGCACAGTGGTGATGACAGCTTTGATGAAGGCAGTGTGTCTGAGTCTGAGTCTGAGTCTGAGAGTGGCCAAGCCGAGGAGGAGAAAGCTTCCCTGACTCAACCCTGTGCTGTGGCTCTCACAGAGCAGCAAGAAGCGGACTAGGAAGCGCAGTGGTGATGACAGCTTTGATGAAGGCAGTGTGTCTGAGTCTGAGTCTGAGTCTGAGAGTGGCCAAGCCGAGGAGGAGAAAGAGGAGGCTGGTAGGCTTTACTTCTTGCTTCTAGTCCCTTCTCTTCCTACTGAATGGCAGTGGAGGGAGGTAAGAGGTTGGTGAAATTGATGGAGGGTGGCTTTTGGGGGGAGACGTCTCTGGTGGTTGGGGGGGGCAGTAAGAGCTTCTCTCTCCTCCCCACCGAAATCAATAATAAAAACTCACCAACTCCTACCACTTCCTGCATAGAAGAAGCACTCAAGGAAAAGGAGAAGCCCAAGGAAGAAGAAAGGGAGAAGACTAAGGACGCTGCAGGGCTGGAATGTAAGCCCCGGCCCCTGCATAAGACGTGTTCTCTCTTCATGCGCAACATCGCGCCCAACATCTCCCGGGCTGAGATCATTTCTGTGAGTGGGGAAAATGGTATTGGGGGCATGGCTGACACCCAGGCTCTGTTCCTTTGGGGTGGGGGTTGGAGAGAAGGCATCAGTGACTGCCTCTGACATATGTCCCTTTTTCTCTTAATAGGCAGGTCCCCTTCCAGTGCACCCACACCCTTGGAGGGCTAGTCCTAATTGCACCATTTGCCTTCCATGCTGACACTCTTAAGCCCTTTATTGGTTTTTCTTTGCCCGAGGATGGGAAGAATTACAAGGCGGTTCCCCAGGGTTCTGAGGATAATGGGGATTGGAGGAAGAAGTGAATCCTTGAATCACTGAATGGGGTTTCTGTTCCTCTGCTCTTGCAGCTTTGTAAAAGATATCCAGGCTTTATGCGTGTGGCACTATCAGAGCCCCAGCCTGAGAGGAGGTGAGGAATTGGATATAGGGGAAGGTTAATGGCCAGCATCACTTCTACCCGGCGACTATGCTGACATTTTCTTTCTTGTGTAGGTTTTTCCGTCGTGGCTGGGTGACCTTTGACCGCAGTGTTAACATTAAAGAGATCTGTTGGAACCTGCAGAATATTCGAGTGAGTGCTGGGAGTGGGACTGGTTTTTTTGTGGGGGTGGGGGGAGATGGCTGGCCAGTACAGGGACTGACTATGGATCTCGGTGTCATCAGCACCATGCGCTAATGGGCCAGCCCAGGAGTGGGACTGTTTTGAAGAAAGGGAAGTGTGGTTCTTCATACCCCATACAACCTCTGACTCCTTGGTTCATTCATTGGCCCATTCATTCTGCATCATTTTTCACCCATTCATGGTTCACTCTGGGTGAGACTCTGGGACTGTTACCACGGACAAGACCTAGCTGGTCCATCTTCCTCAGGGCTCACAGTCTGGTGCTCTCAATAGGGGCCAGTCTTTGAGCTGCTGCTTCTTGGGCAAGTATTGGTAAGCTTTCTGATTACGTGTTCTCTCCAGCTCCGTGAGTGTGAGCTGAGCCCTGGTGTGAACAGAGACCTGACCCGTCGCGTCCGCAACATCAATGGCATCACCCAACACAAGCAGATAGTGCGCAATGACATCAAGCTAGCAGCGAAGCTGATCCATACGCTGGATGACAGGACTCAGCTCTGGGCCTCTGAGCCTGGGACACCTCCTCTGCCAATAGTCAGTGACTCCCCATGGGACTTTTTCAAAAGCAGCAGATCATCTGCTGTGGGTACCTCTGACCTCACTTGATTTGTAGCATTGACCCCTTGCACTCACCCATCCACTCTTCGTTTGCCCCTCCCTGTCTGAGTAGCAACTCTTGGAGAGCACCTTCCAACACAGTAGTTTGACATTAGTGATTATTTGTGGGCTGGGGTCGAACAAATGCAAAAATGAAGACAAATACTGAGGAGGCAAAGGTAACAGTTATGTCAAGTGAACCCTGAACTCCTTTCCCTCTTTTCTCCTCACATTGTGGGAGTTCCTAGGTCACCCACCCTGCAGGGTTTTCTCTGCCTCACTTGGCCCTCTTCTCCTTCCCTACCAGAGTCTGCCCTCACAAAACCCGATCTTGAAGAATATCACTGATTACCTGATTGAGGAAGTGAGTGCTGAAGAGGAGGAGCTACTGGGGAGCAGTGGGGGCCCCCCCCCTGAGGAGCCTCCTAAGGAAGGGAACCCGGCAGAGATCAACGTGGAGCGAGATGAGAAGCTGATCAAGGTGTCAGCTAGGTGTGTGGGTGTTGGGAACATGGCTTGGGGTAAGAGCAGTGAACTAATAGCTTATCATCTCCCTTAGGTTTTGGACAAACTCTTGCTCTATTTGCGCATTGTGCATTCCCTGGATTATTATAACACCTGCGAGTACCCCAATGAGGATGAGATGCCCAATCGTTGTGGCATCATCCATGTTCGGGGTCCCATGCCACCCAACCGCATCAGTCATGGAGAAGGTGGGCCTTCCCTTTTCCCTGGCCACCTCTGGTCTTAGTCCTCCTGGTAGTGCTCTGCTAGTCCTCCTCCAGTCCCCTCCTCTCCTGTTCCTTGCTTCTGGCTCCCATCTCTAACCTTATTTTCTTTGTTCCCAAACCAGTGCTGGAGTGGCAGAAGACGTTTGAGGAGAAGCTGACTCCACTGCTGAGCGTGCGGGAATCTCTCTCAGAGGAAGAGGCCCAGAAGATGGGTCGCAAAGATCCAGAGCAGGAAGTGGAAAAGTTTGTCACCTCTAACACCCAGGAATTGGGCAAGGATAAATGGCTATGTCCTCTCAGTGGCAAGAAATTCAAGGTCTGGGATGTTAGAGAATTGGTGTGCTAGAAAGGTGGGAGGCAGGGTTGAGCCAGGAAGCCCCCTGAGTTAGGCCTGGGGGGAAACTTCTTGTTGAACTGACTGGAGGGAGGCCGATTATCTTTCCAGGTTGGGTCTGGGAATAAGGGAACGTACATTACTCGCTCTGTTCTGACCCTATTCTCTCTTCACCCAGGGTCCTGAGTTTGTGCGCAAACATATCTTCAACAAGCATGCAGAGAAAATTGAGGAAGTAAAGAAGGAGGTGGCGTTTTTTAACAACTTCCTCACTGATGCCAAGCGCCCAACTCTGCCCGAGATCAAGCCAGCTCAGCCACCTGGCCCTGCCCAGAGTAAGATACGATCCGTGAGGGTCTGCCACACCCTCTCCCTTGACTATCCAGGGACTTCTGTTTCTCTTTAGCTCGTCATCCCTGAGCTGTTTCTTTTTCTTTTTAAAGATTGGTATTGTCAGCACCACGCTCTCCCAGTGAGCTAACCGGCCATCCCTCTATAGGGATCCGAACCCTTGGTCTTGGTGTTATCAGCACCACACTCTCCCAAGTGAGCCACGGGCCAGCCCTATCCCTGAGCTGTTTCTACCTGATCCTCAGGCTGTATTTCTAGAAGCCAGTTGTCATGCCACTCCCCCCCCCCCCCCCCGCAATTATTTTCTCTCGCCCGGTTGGCCTCCCCCCCCGCCCGGCCCCCGGGCCCCCCCCCCCCCCCCCCCCC